ATATATATATATATAATTTGGTTTGTATCAATTATCAGAATCGTTCGAAGGTGATCCAGGACTTGATCTTTTGGAATCCTAATTTGTTCTTAAACTGTGTAAATTTTATTATTTTTATTAGATTCCTACTTTTAATTTTTCACTCTTATTTGATTATTATTTAAATTATTCTTTTGGCGAATTCCATTTAATCTACAACTTAGCATTTATCTTATAATATAAATCAATAAATTACCATATCAATCAATTCAAGATTTTCATATGAGCATTTTGAGATACTTTTACTAATTGTTTCAGTTTCAACCTTTTTAATTGATTTTCTTGTTGAAAATTTTGTGTCTCTTTTATTGGTAATTTTTACTATCTATTAACTAAATATGATATCATATCTATTCTTTAATTCTTTTTAAAATTCTGTTTAACCAAGCATTTATCCTTCAAATAAAAATTAATAATTACCTTACATCCATGGATGTTATTTAATTTATTCAATTGTAATTCTCTTTTATGGATTCTCATCCAACATTTTTTCAATCAAATCTTTAAATTGAGCAGATGAATCAGCAATCTCACTATATATCTTCCAAAATGATTATTTATTATTTTTTAATAAAGAATAGTAAGGATCACTTGATTTTGATGTTTTGAAAGGAGCAGATCTGATAACCATTGTAAATAAGATTACACCAGCTGCAAATATGTCAGCTTACTCTGGATTATAAAACTTTTATTTTCCTATATTATAATAATAATTTTTAATTACCAATATTATATAATTCTGGTGGATTGTATTCAGGAGATCCAATATGTTGAGATATTTCAAATTGAATTCTAGATCCTTTCTCATCTATTGTCTTAGTACTAAATCCAAAATCAGCCAGCTTAAGTACTCCATTACTAAATAGTATATTTTCAGCTTTAACGTCTCTATGAGCAACACCGCGTTCATGCAGATGCTCAATTCCTATGCTAACAATAAAAGATGATTTTTACCTTTTATTAATTATGAAAAAATATTTCTTGCAAATTTTTCAGAAAATTGATAAGTCTGTTCTAATAATTAGAATAATTCTCCTTGATTAGCTAATTCCATTACAAAATAAGAAACTTATTATACTCTTCCATCTATCTTTTTATAATTTCCATTCATTCTACACTATGAATGTTTGATATAGTATAAATACATAAATTATTCTAATTATGTGTTTATGATCAAATTCAGCTTGAGTTGAAATTTCATTTATAAATGTTTCAGATCTACATTAACTTGTTGTTGGATCTGTTTTCATAATTTTTATTGCATATTTTTGTTTATCCTCCATGTCGATTGCCAACTTAACTCTATATTGTTATTCAATTCACATTACTTTGCATATCTTCCAAATCCAATTGTATCAATTATATAGTATTTATCATCCAAAATTGATGCAAATTCTAAGTAGTCATTTTAAATATCTAAGGACATCATTATATTATAAATTAATTTGATGTAATTAATTTATCTGATCATATGAGACTATATATAATTTATATAAATTTAAAGAAGATTATTGAATTACATTCCAATCGAAATATCAATTTTTCTTCAATTACTATATAATATCATTTCTACTTTATATAAACATTAAAGAGTATTTTTTAAATCAATTTTATTTTAAACAAATTAAAAACTCATTATAATTATTATATACTGTATTATAAAATATTATATTTCAGTATATTTCAGTATAAATTATTCTTAAGTTATTTATCATAGATAACATATTAACAAGATTATTTTGAAATAACTATTTAAACTAGTATAAAATGAAAATAGAAAATTATATAATAATGATTTAAAAAATCAAAATATTTTTAATAAAAAATTAAGTTCTTTTTATGGTATAAAATGTTTATATTTTCAAAACTTTTTAGGACTCTTACTTTTGTTGTTAAATATTTATTTTTTACATTTTTGTTGCTAGATCAAAATATTATTAAGAATTTATTCTATTTTTATTTCTTTAAGGTGTTAATATTATGTTTATGTTTTCTTTTTCTTAATCTTTTATTATTTAGTTGTAAATTTTGAATATCAAATTTAATTTTTGATATTGAATCAAATTATTCTATAAGTTATGATGTTGATGAATTCTAAGATAAGAATTTTATCTTTATTTACTATTAAATTTATCTAATTTCAATTAGAAATGTTGGTTTTCTATACTTTCTCTTAGGGTTCTTTAGTCTTATGTTTATTTCTATTTTATATCTGTAATTATATTTAATTCATCAACAAAAAGTGGTAGTATAGATTGTTTAGGAGTAAGTTACCTAATAAATATATCTCATGGAACTTGTTTAATATATATCTCTTCATTAATGATTTATTTGATTATGAATTGTTAAATAAAATTCACTTATGATTATTAATTAATATTGAGAGATCTAAAATTTTCATTATTAAACTTTTGTGAATTGTCATTTTTTAATATAAGATCATATCAGACTATAGGAGTAGCTTAATTTATTGTAAATTTTAACTTTTAGGATTATTCAAATTTTATAATTGTAAAATTTAGAGTTCAAACATATAGTAATTATCAAATTTGATAATATAATCATGATAGAACATTATAGACATGATGCAGCTAGATTATTATGGGTAATTGGAATAATGTATTAAATGGTGAAGACATCTATTTATTTCTGAAATTTTATTCAAATATAATAATTAATTATGATGATGATGATTAACGAATTTTAAAAAAATCCTATAATATCTTGTAATTAATTATTTGTTTTACAGTACAAAAAGTGAAGGGATGTAATAGGGCTGTGATGTGAAATTTGAGATAAACGAAGTAGTTTGGGCTAAAGTCTTAGGCTGTAAGTAGTTTTTTAAGCTTTAGATCCATGGTGGCCAGCATAAGTAAATTATAGAATAATCATAAATAGATCTCCTCAATTACAAATGGAAAGACAGGTTCAAATTAATTATGTAGAGTGAATTTTTTAGCAGATGGAACACAGTATTTGTTTTAATTAAAGTATAGCGCTGATTTACGTATTGAAAAAGTAAAAAAATGGAATGATAGGCCAATATAAACAGAAACAAAGAAATTAAAAGAAGCAATAGAATTGGCTAATCAAATTCTGACTGGACAATATAAAAATATATTGCCTAACTTTGAAAATTTGAATGAGCATATACTTAAGAGTCTAGTAATAAAATTAAATGATTTAATTAGAAAAGACAATTAAATAGAGGATGTAATTGTTACTATATTAAATTAGATTGTGCAATCATTG